TTGCTCTTCTCTGGACCCTCTCCAATTTCTCCACATCTTTCCTGAAATGCGGTGCCCAGATGCTGTCCTGGTATCCCCAAAGTGCTGGGTGGCACTTTCTAGCTCATTGGGGGCTGCCAGATAACCACCACTGCCCGGCAAGAAGCCCAGTCCGATGGTGGGGAGAAGGGGATCCCACTCCCATGGGAATGCAACGGGGGAATGCAGAACCTTGGAAAGAAAATTCTACTGAGCCCCTCTGTATATGTGTAACGGCAGCCAAAACACGTAATAGTTCCAGCCCCCATTCTCCATCTCTAAAATGGGGGTAATGGTCCTTCCTTTGTCCTATCTCTTACTGCGAGCTCTTCAGCTGGGACTGTCTCTTGCCATGTGCATGTACAGCGCCTAGCACAGTGGGCCTGCAAGCCTGGCTGGGGCCTTTTAATGATCTGGGACTATAAACAATAACAATTCCCCAAGTCCTACGCGGCGCGGATGGGCCCTTCCTCTGGGATTAATGGATTCGGTCCTTTTAAAGCCAGGTTTTAACAAACTCCGTGTAGCCCCGAGAATTTCTCTGCTCCTTTAAAGAGAAACCCAGAGCCAGGCAGCTCCTCTCCCTTCCGCATTGTTGGGGTCCCCATAGGGCTGCTAGTCAGAGGGTGGGAGAAGGGGTAGCTGGGTGGGGAGGGGGGCAAGAGGGAGGAATAGACAGGAGGAGCCGGGGGCGGGTTCTCAGCCCTATTAGTTCCCTGCCAGCCCCGGGGATAGGTAACCCTAACGGGGAGTAACCCTGCTCCAAACCAGGCACACACACTGTAACGGGGACTAGCTCTAGCCTTATGGCTTGTTCCTCGGAGGTTCCCTGTAGGAGCCCCCCAATGCAAGCCCCCAGTTCCCTCTGGCGCAGAGAGAGGCCCCAACCCCTGCTGTACCCCTGTGTTGATGCTAGTGGGCCCCACATGAGCCGACACCAGAGTGAGTCAGCCACAGTAGCTCTACCTGTTTGGAACCTGCCACCCTGGCACCAGCCTTCTGCGGCTGGAGATCAGGAAACGGTTATTGGTTACCACGGTGACTGAATAGCGGTGTACTGATTTTTCCTTGCCCTGGCATCCCTGGGAAGCTGCTGGGAGTTGAGGTGCAAGACACAGGTAGGGGGACCCAGTGGTGCCCGGAGCCATATGCACGTTACCCCCCAGTGCGTTTGCATCCCATTGGCGGGGGCGCCATGGGGGGGGGCAGGGCTGCTCAGAGTGGGGGGTGAAAGGAGCAGTTTGCCCCTGACTCCCTATTTGAGAAGGACCCCAAAGCGAGTGGCGTTGTGATCCAGCATGCGAGGTCACATTATGCCCCCCCCCCCGGTCACTGTGACCCCGTGCACCAGGTCGCAAGGCCCGGCGCAGGGAGCGGGGCCCAGCCCCACAGCAGAGGAGCCGAGCCGCAGCTGCGGGGTGAGTGCAGTTGTGCATATCAGGTGAGAGATTTCTGGGGGCACCCTCTAATATTTCAGGGTGGGAGCGGGGCAGGGGCAGATTATGCCTTCCCACGAGGATGCTAGAGCGAAATGTACACGTTTGTTGATTCTCCTTTGCTTTGGCTTCCCCAGGCAGCGGGAGGTCCCAGCGGCGGAATCAGAAGGGCCAGAGCTACCGCACAATGGGAGCCCCAGAATCGCAGCCGCGCCAGGATCAGACGTACCTGGATGAGAAGATCGCCATCCCGGATGTGGGAGGGGTAGGTCCCACCAGTGTCTCGGCAGGGAGGCCTGATCTCCCCACTGCCACAAGCAGAGCAGGCACTTGTAGTGGAGAGGCAGGATAGGCCAGTCCATTGGGCACCAGGCTGGTCGTCAGGACACCTGGGTTCTATTTTATTGTGGGCCAGTCACAGCCCCCCTCCCAACCCCTTTGTGCCTCAGTTTCCCCTTCTGTACACAGGGGATCATGCCGTTGGCTTTCCTTGCTGCAGTGTTTTGAGATCTCTGGCGGGACAGCTCCCTGTGGAACTGCTGAGCTCTGTAACAGTGAGCTAGACCCGCCCTGGTCACTAATAATAATCATCTGCACTTCGTCAATAGCGTTTTTTACCGCTCAAAGCTGGGTGGCGAGTGGCATTATCCTCACTTTACAGGTGGGGAAACTGAGGCATGGTGCTCTGCAGCGACCGGCCCAAGGTCATCCAGCAAGTGAAAAGCAGGACTAGACCCCAGGTCTCCTGCTGCCTGCATTGGCGCATTCCCCACTAGAACACACTGCCTCCCCTCGCTGGCTTTTCCTCGGTCCCTCTGCTGGTCCCCACTGACATCCACGGACCCCAAAGCTCCTCTGCAGTGCGGGGTTCCGGGCACAGGGGATCTCAGGGCAGCATATTGGCCTGTGATTCCCGTCTGAGCCGAGCCCGCAGTGCTGTTCTCCAACACCAGAAAGGCGAAATGGAAGATGTTTCACTCTGGTCCTTCCAAGCCGGATGCTGGTGAGAACAGCCCAGCGCAGTGTTTTCGCTGACACACCCATGAGAGGCTGCGCTGTGATGGTGGCCTGCCGTGCCGAGAACTGGGGCAGGGCCGGCTCTCGTTTGGGGGGTTAAAAGGAAGGGATTTCTTGACATTACAAATTCCGGCCTCGTGTCTCGACTGCGTTTCCTGGGAGCCTGGCGTGGGTTGGGACATCACACGCCGTGCAGAAGTGAAACCCGCTTAGCTCGGGGCCGGGGGGAAGTGAGTCTTGTTCAGACTGTTTAGTGCTCTGTTATCTTACCGCCCCTTGAACTCAAATGTCCGGAGGGTAGCTGGGAGAAAGGCTGTCAGGGTGAAAGATTTAACAGCCCAACCTTTCAGGTAAGGCCTCCCGGTGCATATCTCTGGGTTTCCAGAGAACTTCCCATCAAGCCGCAGGGAAGACAAGAGCTGACATGCCTGGGATTGTCTGTGCTTAAAAAAATAAGCAGAAAAAAAACATTGTAAAAGAATCCCTTCGAGCCGTTTTCATCCATCATAAATGGGCCTGTCCCAGTGTTAGCCCTTTGCCCATCACCTTGACAAACCCCAGCCGGGGACTGGAGCTGGGCTCAGGTGCAGCACGTGGATGGGGACGGAGATCCTGATCTCAACCCCTGCAAAGCAAACGGGGGTTGGGTGCTGGGTTTGCTGGCTTGGCCCCTCTCTGGGGGGAGCTCATGGGGCAGGGCCTGGAGGCCAGGGTGGTGGTGGGTGCCCCAGAGTTCTCCCCAGGTCCCGGCACTGCACCCATCACCAGGTGCTGCTGTCCTGGGTGACGTGAGCTGAGGGAGGAGGGTCCTAGCGGCTAAATTTCCAAATCCCAGGGGGAATTAACCAGCCTCCTCACGGGAGCCGCCATTCTTCTTTCTGGGTGGGTACAACCCCACCCCCACTTCGCCCCGAGGCCTTGCCCCCGCTCTGCCCCCTCCCCACAGTCCCACCCTCACTACATCACTTCCCGCCCCTGCTCCACCCCCTCCCCCACGGCCCCACCCTCACTGCACCTCTTCCTGCCCCTGCTCCACCCCCTCCCCACGGCCCACCCTCACTGCATCTCTTCCTACCCCTGCTCCACCCCTCCCCCACGGCCCTGCCCCCACTCCACCCCTTCCCCCAGGCGGGGGTATGTGTCCAGGGGGCCGATCTCCCCTTGGTGCCAGGAGTTGGGCCTGCCTTTGCCTATAGACCCTACTGCTGATGGCCTGGACACGGCCAGGCTGGTCCAATCCCCACCCTGTGGTCGGGGCTGGAGATCCTCCGGCCTGCACCATTTCGTAAATCAGAGAAAGTGAGAGACACGAGAGCAGAGAGATGCTGACCTCAGCCAGGGTTAAGAAAGAGGAACTGGCAGATGGGGTGAGGGGGCCGCCCCTTCCCGCACGAGAAGGGATGGGAGGAACTCATGGGTCAGGGAAAAGCAAGCGGGGGTGGATGTGAAACATGGGGGCCACGCACAGGCCTCTGTGATGTAGTTAGCTCGACCTAACCCCCCTTGCGGGCACAGCTCGGGCAATGGAGGAATTCGTCCGTCAGCCGCGCTGCTGCTTCTGGAGGGGGAGGATTTGCCACAGCAACGGACAAAGCCGCCTCTGACACCGTATGAAGGGTCTGTGCCCCGGCAGCCGAGCGGCTGTAACACGGACCTCCTCACGGACACCACCGAGCGGCAGTGGGGCTCGAACCCCCGAGCGCCAGTCCCAAAAGCAGAAGGCCCTGCCAGCCGAGTTAGATTTGCGGCTACACTGATGGGCGTACGATGGTGCATTGGGAATAGACACCGGGCGTGGGACAGGCCAGCTCCAGCCGTGGGCTCGACGGGGACCGCTCTGGGGCTGATTCCCTCGGCCAAAGCCCCGGGTGGGGTGGGGGATGTGGCAGGATGCTGCCTTCAGGTGTCACTCAACATGCCTGTGTAGCCCATAACTCCACGCCTGCCCCTCCCCAGCCGCGCCACCCCAGCCTGGTCTGTTCCTCTGCACGCAGAGATCTGTTAAAGTGCCCGGCGCCCAGCGTGGCACAAGCCGGCTCATTCCACCCCTGCCACATAGCGGGATTGATCCTGCCGGAGGCTTCGGAGCCGCACGTCCCCCATGCTGAGCGGCCGGGAACCCAGCACAGGGGGCTCAGATGGTTGTTTCTCCTCTGCCCTAACCGCCGGTGCAACGTTCCCTTCACAGCCCGGCTTCAGCTTCCGGAAGCTGTGGGCTTTCACCGGCCCCGGATTCCTCATGAGCATTGCCTTTCTGGACCCGGGGAACATCGAGTCGGACCTGCAGTGCGGGGCCGTCGCTGGGTTCAAGGTGAGCGGGTGGGGGCGGACGAGGGCGCGTTCGCCAGCGCCACCTGTGCCCACTAAAGCCAGGATGGGGCCCGATAGATGGTGCATGACCTGGAGCAGCACAGGGTGGGGTGCGTGCCACTCAAACCGCCCCGGGGGAGATTCTCCAGCCAGTCACAACAGTCCCTTTGGCCACTTCACCCCATTGCTACTAGCTGGGTCCTTCTCGCCCACTCTAAACCCACACTGAGGATGAATAACACTTAGAACTTAGGTGGCGCTGGCCATCATCCGTCCATCTGTCCAGCCCATCCATCCCACCGTCACTGAGACTGTCAGCGCTTTGGGACAGGTCTGTACAGCGCCTTGCACTACGGGGCCATGATCCCAGGGCTGGGGTTTTCAGGCTCTACCATAATAACCCCCCAGCAAGCACTGATCATTAAGGTAACGAGCTAGCAGATGTATGC